TCTATCTAGGTTCAACAAATCCCTATCAAAGTCGAGTAGGCTTCTTTGCAGAAATTGTTAATCTGATCCTGAAATTCACATACATATTTAAGGAACTCAGAATAGCCCAAACAATCCTCAAAAACAAAGTTGAGGACTGATATCCTAAATTTAAAACTAAACAGAAAGCTACAGTAATTGAAACCTACATATCAGTGGGATAAAACTGAGAATCCTGAAGTAAACCTTAAGATTTAAATTAATTGGTCTTGACAATAGTGCCACAACAATTCACAGGGGGACAGAGTAGCCTTTTCATATGGTGCTGGAACAACTGTCCACATATAAAACAATAAATGGATGATCTTCACACTATTTATAATTAAAATGGATCAAAGCTATAAGCCTTGAGACAGGAGTAATCTTCATGACCTTGGATTAAGCAGTGGTTTCTTAGATGTGACTCCAAAAGCTCAAGCTACAAATACAGAACTAGGGCACCTGGGTGGCAGTCAGTTAAGCCTCTGATCCTTGGTTTCGCCTTAGGTTGTAATCTCAGTGTCATGAGACAGAGCCATTTGTTGGTCTCCACACTCAGCTCAGAGCTCCTTAAGACTCTCTCTTCCTCTGTACCCTCCCTAAGATAAATAAGTAAATCTTCTAAAAAACTAAAAACTGTAATTTTTCAAGGCATATGACCAAGAAGTAGAAAAGACCCACAGAATGTGAGAAAAGGTTTGCAAATCATAAGTGAAAAGGGACTGAAATCTAGAACATATATATAATTCTTACAAGTCAATAATAAAAAGGCAAATAATTCAGTTTTAAAGTGGGCAAATGATCTGAATAAATAAGACAAGTGGCCAATAAGCAGCATCATAAACCATCAAGGAAATGCTTATCAAAATGACAATGACATACCACATCATTCTCACCAAGATGACTCTTTTGGAAAGACATAATAATGAGTGTTGGTGAAGAGATTAAAACAAAATCCCTCATACACTCCTGTTGTGAATGTAAATTGGTCCAGATGTTTTTGAAAACAGTTGTTCCTCAGAAGGCTAAATAAGGAGTTACAGTATGATTCAGCAGTTCCATATAGGCATGTAACCAAGAGAAATGATCACACAGAAACTTACAAGTGAATGTTTATAGCAGATTCATTAATAATAGCCTGTTTTGGCTCTGAAGTAGATTTAAATATCCAAAATTATTCTTGGAAGTATATCTAACATAAAAGTAAGGTAAAATCTGAGATGTAAAGTTCAAATCCTTTTTGTTTACTTAAGTAATTTCTATACCCGATGTGGTGATCCAACTCACAACCCAGAGACTGAGTCACGTGCTTTTCTGACTGAACTAGCCAGGTATCCCTTGAACACTTTAAGATAATATATATTTAAATAATCTTGGTTTACTCTTCAGTAGTTACTGAAACATTGGCTGAATGCTTTTTTTTTTTTTTAAGATTTTATTTATTTATTTGAGAGAGAGAGAGAGAGAGCATGAGAGGAGAGAGGTCAGCAGGAGAAGCAGACTCCCTGCTGAACAGGGAGCCTGATGTGGGACTTGATCCCAGGACTCCAGGATCATGACCTGAGCCGAAGGCAGTCACTTAACCAACTGAGTCACCCAGGTGCCCTGGCTGAAATGCTTTTAGAAAACTTCTAAATATACTAGAATTCATGGAATCGTGAAGCATATGTAGACTGTATAAAAAGGACATTTTCATGTTTGGGTAAAATGTGGAGATAACAACCAATAGAAAGTAAATATAATAGCAAAAAGCTATGAAAATTATAAGGCATAACACCAAGTATAAGTTAAAGCGTTAGTGGCAATATTAAATGTAAATGGATTAAATTCTATTAAAAGATTCCTTGGGCTAAAATATTTTCAATAACTTACAAGAGACCTCTAAAATTGATGGGATGGACAACAGTATGGTCAGCAAGATTTACATCATCAGATAAATGAAAGATAACATTTTTAAAGTTCAAAATTAACAGGATACGGTCTAACAATTAATTATACACATGAGGGCAAAATGAAATTAGATCCCTTCCTCTCGGTATATTTTGAAATCAATTCTAGATGGATTAAGGACTTAAATTATGAAAGACAGATCTTTAAAACTTGAGAAAATATAGAGGACTTCTCTTTCCTACCTTGTGCTGCTGGACAGTACCATGATTCTAAAGATCTGTGTGAAATGTTGCTTATTTGACAGCAAAGGATTCAAGCTGGTTGGAGAGAGTCAGAAGTTCTGATGATAGCAGGGATCCCCAGTTAGACTGTCTTTTTCTTTTTATTCTCCCAATAATAAATTTCACTAAACCTCTCTACAATATGTCAACTGTCATTTGCCTTTTAGGCAGTTACCAGTATTTAACTTCCCTTTTACTGGAAGTTTTACTTATTTTTCCCTAAGCATACCAATGCAGAGGTTTTCCAAGTGAAAGACCTCTCCATAATGCCCTGAGTTTTACCAACTAACAAGTTGTACGCTGTTATGACCAATTTTCTCATGTTTATAAACTTAAAAATAATTCTTTCTGAGCAAGTACTCCTATCAGAGATTCACTCATGTCTGCTTTTATGTATTTTTTATAATTGCACATCCATGGTGCAAGTCTGTGTCCTGAGATAACTTAGATCAGAAGGCTTCTGTACCACCAGTCGGCCTCACTATTTCACATATTACCTAGGGGTGGGGAAGGATTTCTCTAGAGAGATTAAACTTTAGCCATTAAAGAAAAAAAAGAAATCTCTCTATATTAAAATTGGGAAGATCCAAAGACAAGCCACAAATGAGAGAAGATACTTGTAACTCATACAACAAATGATTGACAGAGGATTATTATTCATAATAAGTTCTCTTAAAAAGTAAATTAGAAAAGATAACCCAATCAAAAACAAAATAAGCAAGATAAAACCAGGAATTTAGCAGATAAGGAAATATGTATAGCCAATAAACATAGGAAGATGCTACTAGTTAGGGAAATGCAAATTAAGACTGTGAGATATGTATCTATATCCAAGTAGATTTGTAAAAATTCAGTCTGGCAACACCAAAGCCTTGAGAGCATGTGGATAGTGGTAACTCAAACATTGCCCATAGGGATGTAAACTGATCACCTGCTTTGGAAAATAATTTATCTTGAGAATTTAAACATTTGTGTATCTTATTGCTACCCAACAAATCCACTCAAAAAATGTTTGTAGACTTGCTCCTTGAAACAGTAGTCATAGCAGTAATGTTAGTAACACTTACTGTTATTACTATCAGCGTCAAGTGGTGACAGCTATGTTGAGTCTATACTTTCACGATTTGAAATGTTAGTAAGAAAAAGAAAACTGAAGTGACTCAAATATACTTTATAGAGAACGAGATAAGTAACTTTTTTTATATTGGCCCAATGGATCATTATGATGCCATTAACATTGTATGAATTACTGCAATACACAATTTTATGAATGAGTCTGGGGATATGTGTGAAGACATGTTAGAAAACTCTATAGTTTGCTCAAAAGTAAGCAGAATAAAACTTGATTGTTTACACATCACATTTATAATGAAACTAATGTAAAACGTAATAGAAGTATAAACTCAAAACTCTTGATCTGGGCTTAGGTCTTGATCTCAGGGTCATGAGTTCAAGCCCTTCATTGGGCTCCACACTGCTGGTCATGGAGCATACTTAAAAAGAAAAAAATTAATCAGCCATGCCAGAAGAAAAACTTAGTTTGTTCATTCTCTCTATGGGAAATACTGCAAAAATTGTGTTCATGAAGAGGCAATCAAATATGTAGTCCTAGAGGGAAAAACCTTATATTGAGTCAGGCCTTAATTAATGAAGGTATGCTATTTTTTGGATTTTGTGATTTTAATACATGACAGGTCTGTTTTTCTTTTTCGGAGTTAGGCTACAAGCCCAGCATGGCGCCCAACACAGGGCTTGAACTCATGACCTTGAGTTAGAGTGTCAGTGCTTACTAGCTGAGTCACCCAGGCACTCCTAGACATGACAGACAGGTTTCTAAAATTTGAATTTGTTGTGATTTTTTTTTTCTTGTTCTAAATAAATATTCACCTCAATTTCAGGTCTCACAAATCTTAGAACTGTTCCTGATCAAATGACATGGTAAATTAAAAGGATATATAGTAAAGGAAAGCTTCAAGTAAGATATAGTGATAAATGAAAAAATTATTCAGGTAGCCTTTGACTGGGTTATTTGTGCCTTCAAAGGTCCTAGATTCTGTCTTTTCAGTTTAGTAACTTCTCTATAGTTTGTTAGATAACTGGCCTATTATGCCTGTACCTATGTATTTTTTTCTTTTTTTGTTGTTTTTATTATGCCTTTGATTGCCTTGTAACTTTATTTCCTTTAAACCATTTACCTACCTAGCTACAGCTTAGTTCAGACTTGATATAAACAGTAAAATATTTTTCTCTGCCATGTAGATTTTTATTAAATTATGAAAAATAATTAAAAGCTAAATTAGCTTTCTTGTTGTGTATCTTTAAGCTCTCATTTTATACTCCTAACTATTGGGAATTACGCCTGCAGTACCATTTATTTTGGAAATTTGAACATTAGGAAAGCTTTATGAAGGTGCCACTAGGTGTAGAAAATGCAAAACTCTTCACAAAACCTTGAGTTTTGTTTTTATGAAGAAATGCAGTTAAATCTTTAGGTTATGTAAGGTATGGCCTGCTTGGATAACTGAAACCAGACTTTAATGGTTATGGCAGTGAGGTGATAAAAAACGTGGCCAGATAAAATTAAAGGCTTAGTATCAAGTAGAGGCTTACTGGTGATATAAAGTTTGAATTTATATAGAATAGATTTATAGAAAAAATTAAAATTACTTGTACATTTTCAGTGACCCATGAAAATGGATGTAATTTTCAAGAAAAATAATTATCTAAATCTCTAGAAATAATCTGAACATTAATATTACAAATAAATAGGCTTTTGTCTGTTAGAGAAGTGCACTTAAATGTGGCATTTTAAATTCTAGGGTATAAAAGATGGCAAGTCCAGATAGAAGTAAGCGGAAGATACTAAAAGCCAAAAAAACAATGCCTGCAAGTTGCCGGAAGCAAGCAGAGATGCTGAGTAAGTCAAAGAATGCCGAAGCACTGAAAACAGCAAACGGGAATAATGTGTCAAGTGGTAATCAGAATTCAAGTACTGGTGTCATAAACAGCAAATGTGGACATTCTGAAAATGATGCTTCTTTATTGGACTCTAACAAAAATTCAGTATGCTCAGAGAAAAGTAAAGCATCTTCTCAAAAAGTAAGGAAACCACTAGAAATTGTTGATTCAGGAACAAGATTGGAATACACTGAAGAACAAGTTGTGTGCCCTTACCAAAAGCCAAGTAAAACAGTAGAATCTTCCAAGAAACTCTTTACCCAAAAGGCAAAAGATTCACAAAACACTTCTGAAAATGATACTGAATGTCAGACAGATGTAACAAAATCCTGTTTTGAACAACACAAAGAAGACTGTAATCTGAAATCCATTTGCTGTCCATCCAACGTATTGAGTGGTATGGTTCAAATGCCCAAAACTACGGTAAACAATACTTTGGATGATAAGAGAATTGACAAGATAGTTTCCTATTTAGAAACAAATTCCAATTCTGAGTCGTGTGATAAAAGACAACGTGACATTTTAAGTTCAGATACCCGTTTTGTGTCTGTTGATAAAATACCCAAGTTGGTGAATTCAGTCCTTTCCAGTAACTGTGCTACCGACATTTTGAAAAGTGAAGAATCCCGTAGAACCTGTCATTCCAACATTTCAAATTGTGAAAGTATAGACTCAACACGGCTGTCAGCACTTGACGCTGATAGTAATAACAGTAAGTGTATACTTAAGCATATTTTGGGGAAACTAAAATAGTCATAGTCAACTTTCCTTTTGGGTTCTTTTTTTTTTTAGCCTCAGATATAGAAACCATAGAGTATATAAAGCCAGGAAAAAAGTAAATGATGACAATAATCGTTTTAGAGTGTCTTGTTTCCAAACCGTTTAGGGTGAGGAGGGGGAAATGGTATCCTCCGTATCTGAAGGGAAGTAAATTCTGCCAAAGAAAGATTCAGTCGTTTTCCCTTGAGAGTACAGAAAATCAAAACATGACTTACGGCAATTGTTTGATTTATTTCATCTACATGTCTTCTTATTTTGAAGGTTTATTTATTATATTAATAAGGAGGCGAGCTGAAAGAGTGTTTTTTTAATTATTAGTAAACTCATTTCTTTCCATAGAATTGACCTGTATCATATGCCAAGTGTAAGCTGATAGATAATATGTATATTTATATACGTAAACATACATACATGTAGGCTTGGAGTGACAGAAACATCAAATAGTTAACCAATGAAATTCTAGAGTTATAAAATCATTAAAATAGCAAAAATAAATTTCAAAGAATATTTTTTGTAAGTTAATGATATAAGAAAAAACATTTCATGGGATAAATTTTATTTGTGTTCTTGTCTAGGCTACATAGTGATTATTTAATAAGATAGATTTAAAATTGCTTAAAAATAACAGCATCACCTATTAAAAATATGTCAGACTGCCTAAGTAACTGTATAAAAATAACGTGAGAACACTTAAGTAACTAGAGGTCTAAGTGCTATAAGTTATTCAGTTTTTGTCAGAATTAAATAGGTATTAAATAAAGTTGAAAGGGAGGTGTATCTGATACCAGAATCCTACCTATGAACCTAAGATAATAATTTTTGTTAAGGTTAGGTTTATCACAGTTTTTTAGACAATTACATTTCTTAAAAATGCTGCCTTGGTCACATTTTAGTTTTTCTATTTCCTTAGAGAGTCCCTGGATTAGAGAAGTCCCGATTCCTTCCTTAGAAGGAATATTTTTACTTTCTGATCTTTTCATTTCCCCAAGGCCATAATCAAAAGAAGAGGATGTTTTCAGAAAACAAAGAAAGTGTTAAGCGCGTGAAAACTTCAGAGCAAATTAATGAAAATATTTGTGTAGCTCTGGAAAAGCAAACAGCATTGCTGGAACAGGTAAAACATTGGTGCTTATATATTTGCTTCAGAAACTTCTGATTAGTATAAAATGATTAAAGTTCATAGACCTCCATGATGATTTAGTACAGAAGATTTTCACTTGGTGCAAAGGTGATACATACATGAAAACTGAATCAACCGATAGAGGTATTAAAGAAAGATAATTGTTTACATTACCAACACATATACAGAGTAACCTAGAGAATCATGTCAAGTAGAGTGCTATAGTAGAAAGAGAATGGACTTTTTAGTCACTATTACATTGAAATCTCCCAGAAAGTCAGACACTTCATGACCTGAAGCTTTGCTGAATAATTCAATCTCTTTTGTTCTGGTCTTGGGGTCCTCTGATCTGCCGCTACAGCCGTTTTGTGTATCTCATCACAACTGACCTCTACTTCATAGACTCAGACAACCCAGAAGTCCAGCTGCATTCGGACTTACTTGCCCTAACTTCCGGGTTTACAGAGAGAGGTTGGATTTTCTGATACTTCACTTTATAGCATCATCAAATGCACATTTTGCTTTCATTTTGCCCTATTTTATTTCATTGTCAGACAACCTCCCATGTTTGATCAACTCTTGAGTTTAAGTGTAATGAACTTCAATTTTAATAGGTCCTGTAATGACCTGTTTTAATGATCATGTTTTGCTATTTTACTACCACTAGAATTATTCAACTGAAAGTTATTACGTGGTAGATTAATGTCTTATCAACATTATATAATGGACTTAAATGTCTGAAGCCAAACTTCCTGCTGTTTTAGAAACAGAAACACTACTGTTTTCTAAAGCAGACCCCATTATAGTTATATAGTTACATATTATATGAATATGTATTCACATAATAATTAAATGGAAACCTTTTTGAAAGAGTCATGCAGAACCAGCATGGAAGGTGAGTCAGCAGTTTTTCCCTTTCTACTTTGTCTTTTCTTCCAGGAAGACCAAAGAAAACACTTAATTTAAAAAGATGTAAATATTCTGTTATTGGCAGGAAAGGGGTAGCAGAATTATGGTGAGCATAGATTTAGCTTAAGAAAGAAGTTGGGGATTCCAGCTGTGTCTTATTCCCACTGATTAGTAGTTGAATTTAGAAATAAATTCTGATAGGGACATAAAGACAACATTTAATCTTTGAGTATTTTGGTGTCACCGGCGTGGAAAAATCACTCTTTTCATTCGTTACTATAATCTGTCTCACAAAACACTTGGTCTGAGTTGACAGAGAAAATGGTCCCTCCAACGAGGCTTAAGGAATGTGGTTTATTTTGTTTTCTCAACCACCACCTTCCCCGTCCACGAAGTTTCTCACACATTCCTCAGAGACATCTTGGTTTTTAGCTAATTACTATGGTTTTACCTATCTCCAAATAGCTAGCTTCCCATCATTTGATATTTTAATTCCTATGCAGTTAACTCTCTAAACCACATCTATTTGGGTTTGGTTTTGTTTTGTGGTTTTAATCCCAGTGGAATAGGGCCTACCATTCTGACATTATTGTTCCCTGAGAGAGTCCCAGAGCCGCTGACTCTTCTTTTTTAAGGTTTTTATAAGGATCTTGGCCTCATTGATTCCAATTAAATTACTGAAGTGGAGGAGTTTTTCTTGTAAAGTCCACGTTACTCACTCTACCCACCATCTTAGAAAGTTGAGGCAGATTGAAAATATATACTTGCTAGTCTTTCTCCAATCTTTAGGCTACTTTCACTGCCAACGGCAGATTGTACCTAGGATTTCCATCAGCTACCATAATTTTGGACACAGTACCATCAGCAGAAGACATATATGAGGTATTTGGTGGAGGTTATTGTGTCTTCCTTCTTTATGAGTAACACTGCCACTAAATGAGAACACATGTCCACTCTAACCAAAAGTAACAACCTATGAATGGAGATTTAGTCCTCTTAAATAACCAAGTTTTAAGAGTCTGCCTCCATCTGAATCACCCGGAGTACTTACTTATTTAAATTGTGGTTTATTGAGCTCACTAATAGTTGAAGACTGTTGTTTTAGGCTACTCTTTTCTCAAACTTACCTAATAAAAATTTCTGGTGGTACCTGTTAATTAGACAGCTTTCTCGGCCTTTTTCCAGGAAATTCTGTTTGGTGAATCCAGGCTAGGGCCTAGAAATCTGTGATTTTAACAAATACCCCATGTGTTACCAGGGAAGTTTCATAAACCCTGTGTGATCTCTGCTTGTTAGCAAAACAGTATTTCCACATTCAAAATATTTAGAAAGTTTCTCCAAGATTCATCTGAGTATGAGCTTTACATATTCACCCCAGCCACTGAACTGGCAAGTCTGGAGTACTCCATAAGAAACACACAAGGGCCACCGGTGTCACCTGTCAGTAAAAATAGGATGTTATTTTGAGCACTTACTAGTTGCATCAAATACTTAAAAGTTTGACAGTAAAAATGGTGATCATGTCTAATGTTGAGAAATCACTGAAGAAATGTTAAGCGTTACAGAAGAAATCAAGTAGATGATAATGTTGGAAAGCAAGAACAATTGAAAATGAGAAGGAAGAACCTGGGGAATAATCAGAATTGCCGAATACCCCTAATCATCCCAATGATAACCAGTATAAAAGAGTTAGAAACTCTGTGTTCCAATTTCAGACTCCGAGAAGCATGAATTTAGGGGAAGGATACAAATATTGCTAATAAATACCTTGGGTGTATCATGACAGGTTTTGTTATTAAGAGACATTACCTACTATGTTACAAAAGCAGCTTACTGGAGAATACCAATTCAGCAAAAAATTACAGTGGATATTTCTGAATAGATGGCTCAAGAGAGCTATTCATATCAGTGGGCATTGAGATTAATTATGTTTCCTGAAAACAGTCCTGTCTATTCTCTAAAACATAGCCAGATAATGAAATGCATTAATGTTTCATGTAATCACTACTACACACTGTTAGAACAGCATGCATTATACCAAATAGCATTAGTCACTACCTAATTAGCCCTGACTTCCCTCCATTTTAGCAATAAAAAAGTCACCCCCTAAAAAAAAACCTATGCAAGTAAAGCAGATTATCTTGCACATTTATTTCCTTTATATTAATTCACTATTTTCTATTTTTTGGAGCTCTTTCCAATATTAATCTTTTATACTCTTATAAAAATCTTATGAGCATCACATGTTCAAAATGTTGTATTACCTCCCCATATGTGGACAAGGAAGATGAAGCTGAGAGGTGTGACTTCCCAAAGGTCATAGAGCTTTGTTAATGGCTGGGTCAAGGCTCAGACTTTCATAATTTGCTTCATATCTACTATAGGCCAACCAACCATTTTCAATGGGCTTTGGCTTTCAGATAAGTAGAGCTCCTTTTGATGGAATACTTGGTTTCAGTTATGCTCATTAAAAAATACAAATGCAATATAGGCTTTAACCTTTTCTTTAATATGTATTATGGAATTAACTGAAACGGTAGCAAATAAAAATTAGCACTGGGAGAATAAATGTATGTTCTAATGTATCCATATATTTAGATACTGGGTGTGTTTCACTAAATTTGATATTCAGACTACTGCTAACATAAATATAAACATAAAAATGTGAAAAATGTATATTTTATCGATTACAGTAAATCCAGAAAAGAACAAAGCTATTTTTAAGGAGTAGAAAATAAAATTGCTTTTAAATTTGAAACATAGGGTGTTCTGGTTTTTATTTTAACATTCTAGGTCAAACATTTGATTCGACAGGAGATCTGTAGTATAAATTACAAACTATTTGATAATAAGCTGAAAGAATTGACTGAACGCATTGGGAAGACACAGTGCAGGAATAAACATGAAGCCATAGCTGATGAACTCTTCGTAAGTTTCTGATTTCATTTGAAGTAGAATCTGGTGATATTTTACGTGTTAGGAAAGGAAAACAATAAAGCAGACCCACATCATCCTTGACGGCAAGCTTGATGTACCATGCCGTAGAGTCTATTAGCGATATTTTTAGCAATACTTTTGGACCGTGTTCTTCTGTTATCAATATTCTGCGTCAGTTTAATAGGCTTAATATATAGACAGTTTCTTTTAATTCGAAATATGTTCTATATTAGAGCTTGTATGGTGTATTTCAAACTGGGGGCTTTTGTTTTGTTCTATGTTCCTAGGGCTACTCACTGATTGGTGTTTCCACCAACGTTAATTTTATTATGGCTCAATTAAAAGTTTGATATTTTTATCTTTCATTCTTGTATGCCATACTGGCATCAAACATTTAAATCGTTGCTTCTATAAGAACTTCTCAATTTTTAAAAAAGATTTTTATTTATTTATTTGACAGAGAGAGAGATCACAAGGAGGCAGAGAGGCAGGCAGAGAGAGAGAGAGAGAAGGAAACAGGCTCCCTGCTGAGCAGAGAGCCTGATGCGGGACTCGATCCCAGGACCCTGAGATCATGACCCAAGCTGAAGGCAGAAGCTTTAACTCACTGAGCCCACCCAGGCGCCCAAGATTTTCTCATTTATTTGGGTAGATGCTTAAATCTTACAAGACTCCGTTAGCAGATACATAGTTTTTCCTCCCTCTTTATATATTATTTAGTACTCTGGTTTTGTATTTGTTTTTCTCTTTTTCTTCTAGGCAAAAATATCAAAACTTCAAAGACGTATTAAAGCAGTATTGCAGTCTCAGAAGAATTGCTTGGAACCAAATGTATTAGCCAGTAATACAGCCTGCAAGGTTGGTATAAACACATAGGAGTTTTAATTGCCTCATTGACCCACCGTTATAGGTAGTTGGATTTTAAAATATGAAATATATTTCCAAACTAAGAAGGCTTTAAAGAAAAATTTATATTCAGAATGTCCTGTGATGCTGTCTCTGGAGAAGATCAGCTTAGGTGGCCAAAAGTAAATGCCACTTGTATTTCTTTCATCAAGAGAGTAGAGAGGTGATTTGTGATTCCCACAATTTTATCATGATAAAATGTTTTGAACAGATACTACAACAAAGTTGACAAAATTTTACAGTGAACATTTGTATACACAGCACCAAAATTCTACCTTTACTTTTTTTAATATGTTTAATATTTTTGTCATATATGGGTCTATCTGTTCATCTCCTAAGCCATCTTTATGTTTGGTGCATTCACAAGTACTAATGTATTTTTTGTATCAAAATACACTTTGTAGCATACACTTCTAAAATATTTCAGCAGGGGTATTATTAGAGTTTGGTATCTGTTAATATTTTTATATAAAATGTAAGTATAATCTTTATTATACATTCACTGAATTTTTTTTTCTCGTAGTGTCTTTATTTGCTTTGGCACCATATTTATGCTAGCTTCAGTAAATGAATTGGGAAGCATTCTCTCCCGTTTTTTGAGTCTGTGTAAAATTTTCTTACTTCCTTAAATGTTTGATAGAATCCATGTCTGAAGACTATCTGGGCAGGGCGCTTTCTTTGTAGGAAGATTTTTTCTTGAAATTCAGTTCTTTAATAGGTAAGGGGCAATTCGGATTTTTCTATTTCTTCTCGTATCAGTTTTGTAAATTATCTTCACAAAGAATGTGTTCCTTTTATCTAAGTTGTTGAATTTGTTGACATAAATTATTGACAAAATTTTCCTGTCCTTTTAACATTTGTATATCTATAGTGATACACTATTTCATTTCTGATACCAGTAATCTGTGTTTTCTTTTTTTCTTGATCAGTCTTGACTAGGGTTTTAAAAATCTTACTCTCTCTTCCATGTCTCTTTTCTGTTTTTTATAATTTCCTTACTTTTACTTACATTGGATATGATTTGTTCTTCTTTTTCCAGCTTAAGAGAAAGAGCATTAATTTTTAATCTTTTCTACTAGAAAACATTTAAAGCTATGAATTTCCCTCTAAGCACTGCTTTTTCTAAGCATCTTCTCAGTGACTAGACATTGCACCTTTTTTTTTTTTTAAAGGTTTATTTATTTAGAGGGATGCCTGGGAGGCCCCATCAGTTAAGCGGCTGCCTTCGTCTCAGGTCATGGTCCCAGGGTCCTGGGATCGAGTCCTGCATGGGGCTCCTTGCTCAGCAGGGAGCACGGTTCTCCCTCTGCCTGCTCTGACTACCACTCCCACTGCTTGTGCTCTCTCTCTCTCTCTCTCTGACAAATAAATAAAATCTTTTTTAAAAGATTCATTTATTTAAAGAGTTCATGAGCATGTGTGAGTGGGGGTAGGGGCAGAGGGAGAGCACCTCAAGCAGAGTCCATGGTGAATATGGACCCCAGTTTGGGGTTCAGTCTCACAACCCATAAGATCACGATCTGAGCTGAAACCAAGAGCCAGGCTGTTAACCCACTGAGCCATTCAGGTACCCCTAGGCATTGCATTTCTAACTACAGGTATTATAATCTTTGATGTACTGGTTTTTGTTTTTTAAGATTTTACTTATTTGAGAAACAGAGCAGAAGCAGGGGGAGGGGCAGAGGGAGAGGGAGAAGCAGACTCCCACGGAGCAGGGAGCCTTACATGGGGCAGATGCTTAACCAACTGAGCCACACAGACATCCATTTGGTTTTCATCAATTGAAAATAATTTATAACTTCCCTTATGGTATAGTTCTTTGACCCATGAATTATTTAGAAGTGTGTGTTTAATTTCCAAACATTTGGAACCTTTTTAAATATCTTTTATTGTACCTAATTTAATTTTATTTTGATCTGAGAACACACTGTGTAAAATTTCTGTGTCGAGAGTTATTGACACTCACTTTGTAACCCAAGATACGCTTTCCTTGGTGAATGGTCCTTGTATCCTTGAATGCTGGATATAATGTGTAAATGTCACTTTTGTGTTAATTTTGCCACAGAGGTTGATAGTGGTGGATAATGACCCCCAAAAGAAATCCATGGATTAATCCCCAGAACCAGTGACTGTGTTGCTTTATGTGCTAAAAGAAGCTCACACAGATGGGGAGATTATCCTGGTGGGCTCAGTGTAATCACAAGGGTCCTTACAAAAAGGAGTCAGGAAGGTCAGAGGCAGAAAAAAGAGATGGGACAGTGGAAGCAGAGGTTGGGCTGACTGCGCTGAAGACGGAGGAAGGGGCTATGAGCCAAGGAATTCTGGCAGCTCCTAGAAGCTGGGAAAAAGGAAACACTCCCCTGAAACCTCCAGAAAGGATGCAGCCCTGCAGCAACGCTGGTACTTCAGTAGTCCTTGCCCCTGGCTGTCCCAAATGAGGGATGATGGTCCTACTGCTGTTTCAGGTGTGGAGTCCTGGGGCTTGGTCCCTGGCTGGGCGTGGCCGATACTGCTACTGCAGCCGGTTACATCTACCACTGCCCCACGTGTCTGGTGGGGACCAAGATGACACTAGCACTGCAGTGAATATGGCTGCTGATTTTGCAGTGTGGAGTGGAGCTTCAGCCACCCCTGCTCTGGGTTTGGGGAGAAGAATGGGTCCCTGGCATTTGTGGCACCTGTTGCAGAAGATACATGGACAACAAAAAGAAAACCGAGGGGGCTCCCTGTGCTTCCTCTCCGCAATCTCAGGATCCTCGGGCAGTCTGCCCTTTTCTTTCCACCTTTCAGAGGCATTTTATGATTATCTGTTGAATTATTTCCAGCGTTTTTCATTATGCTTAGATGAGAGTAGCAGGGAAAGGTGAGCCACTTTGTGCCGGCACTGAAAGGATACCAAATATTTTTTGCCATTGTTTTCCAGTGTTGTTTGAACCTATTTCTACATATAGAATCTGCAGCCTTAATAACATTTCAGAAGCCTGTCTTTGTGTACAGGCATCTTTGTTCACATTATCCACCAGAAAAGCTCATGAGTCGGGCAACCAGTTTGACCCTTTTGTATTGTTTAAGATACACGTTATTTTTTTAAATACTGCACATTCTCAAACAAAGCATAGACTAAAACGTCCAAGTTTTAAACAAAACTCAACTGGAAGAACAAGTTGGAAGTTTGATTTATTTCTGGTCTTCACTCATTATTAGGATAGTGAAAGTAAAAGTGTGCTTATTACAGTCGAATGTTTCTGAGTTCCTCAAACAGTCTCATAGGAACAAAATGTTGTCTAACTACTTCAGTATTTGTTTTTCCTTTCCACCCAAGCTAGGAAGTTGATTTGTGCTGTCATTGTTTTTATTTCTTATAAATATTTTTTAAATTCATGTTGGCAAAGACGCCACCTGCGTTGTCAAGAGCCATTGGGACACATGGAAATTAACATATGTTTTGCCATATGTGTCCAAGAACATTTTGAGAACATTTTCCAAGTGAAATTTTACCTATCAAATTTGTGTGGAAGAACACAAGTGTTAACAGCCCCTTTAACTGCATTTTCTTCACCCAATTAACAGGCTGCAAGTTCAGAGACCATGAATTTGGATAAGAATTCAGAGTCAGTCAGCAGTCCAGATGAAGGAAAGAATTCTGTGAGCTCTGGACCTTCGAACCCTTCAGAAGCAGCAAGTGAAAAGGTTAATTTATCACGGGATCACGATGAGGCTGTTTCGGAAAGGTAGGCCTTTCTACAAAAATGCATGAAGTTACCTAACGATGTGCTTGTAAACATACCATTTCTCAGTTAAGAATGAAACAGTTTAAAGGTTCATGTTCATTCTTGTCTGTTATGAAGGAATGGAATTGGTTGTCCAGAGCTTATATCATGGTGGTTTTGACAGTAACGAATAGAGGCGCCTGGCTGGTCAGTCCGTAGAGCATGTGACTCTTGATCATCTGGGCAGTGGGTTGAGCCTCACACTGGGGGTAGGGTTTACTTAAAACAACAACAACAACAACAAAACCCCACCAGTACTAAATAAAATTTTGAATTGGCTAGGGGATTGGGTTTTCCACTGTGGTGTATTCCAACTTTGGTATGGTAAGCAGAGTGATCCCTTGGTCATTCCCATGGTTTGTGATCTATACATGGAAAAGTCAAGGTCCTATAACATAGTGGCTTACAAAAGTTACAGAGGAGAGTAAGGCTAGGAAAGTAAGGGTAGGAAAAAAGTGCCTAAAAGTATTTGATTCTTATAGGCTGAAAGCATTATCATGAATCATAACTTCACATGACAGTGAACAGGTTAATTTATTTGTTTAATTGAGTCGAAAAGCAGCCAAGACCTCTAACCTCTGATCTAGTCTAAAAGATCCAGGGCTGTTAGGGAAGAAGTCATTTAGTTTAACAGAGAAATATGAGTGGTGATTCCTGCCTTGATTAATGTTGGGGGAGGGGCATTTTAATGAGTTCTTTTCTTTGGTCTGGTGATTTGCAAGTTTTGGAGCTTTAGAGTATTATTTTATTTTTTTATTCCTACCATTAACTCCTTAAAATGTCCTCAGGTTTTCCTTTTATGTGATAAATTGTACTCCAGCTTTTAAAAGGGGAAAAATACATAACTCAAAATAAGAAATTATTTGAAGAATACCACCCTTTCCCCAAATAGCTATGCATACTCAAGGAGGCCACAAAATGAAGGAGAGGCATTACAAATCTGTACCATTTGCAGTGGATCCTTGGTTTGGGGGAATTTACATGCAGTTTTGACTCTTCGAAGAAGCCCTAATATTGCATGATAGTGAGTCCTGCATTTTAGTTTTGAACCAGGAAGCTGCTATGAAGAAGGCATTTATTCAGTTTGTGAATGCAAGAGTCACATTTCAGTGAGTCTTTGTTGTTACCCCTCTTCATGTGTGTGCTGAAACTCATGAAGTGGCAAAAAGGAAAAATAAAATGGTAGTGATAAAAGTGAAAAAGTGTCCTGATGATTCACAGGCCTGTACCTCTGGGACAAATAATACATTATATGTTAATAAAAAAGTAACAACAGTAATAGCTTACCAAAAAAAGTGGAAAAGTGGAGACCCCATTAAGATAGCAGTATTTAGACTACTAATAAGTCAAATTTATCAATGGCTTCTATCTATGACATGAGCAATCTACCTTATGTTCTATAATGAAGGAAAAATTTATGAAACTTTTGCCAGGCAACCATGCTAACAAGTATATATAGCTTGACCATGATGGGTGGATTCAATGGTGAGTTTTACAAAACACAGAATAAAGAAACAATACCAGTTTTAAATAAATTTCCAAAAAATAAAAGAGGGAATATTTTCCAGTTTGTTTTATGAGACTAGATACTAAAATCTAGTATGACTGTGATATTCTGGTATTAAAATCAATTTTAACATTTTACAGAAATGGGAAATTACAGTCCATTTTTACCCATAAAATAGATGCAGGTATCCTAAACAAGATACTAGTAAAGCCAAGTCCAACAATCTATAAAAGTTGAGTTTGTCTCAGGAATGCTACAAGGTTAGTTCAATAGTTAAAAAAAATCAATTACTGTAATGTACCAGAATAAGAATCATTATTAACTCACAACAGAGGTAGGATTTGATAAAGTATCCTGTTTATGATTAAAAACAAATTCTTTGCAAACTTGGAATAGGTAGGTAACTTCCCTGATCTGATAACGAGATATACAAAAACTCTAAAACAGATCTGATGGCCAAATATTGGAAGTATTTTCTTTGAGATACAAAATAGAAGGATGCCTGCTCTTACCACTTTAACATTATACTGGATCTCTTGACTAATGAAAGAAAAAGAGGTCAGTATAGAAAGGATTGAAAAAGAAGGAAGAAATATTACTATTCTTGGATGATTGGGGTAGGTATATAATGTAGGAAATCCAAAGTAACTTACAGATAAATTATTAGATTTAACAAGAAGTGGGACGCCTGGGTGGCTCAGTTGGTTAAGCAGCTGCCTTCAGCTCAGGTCATGATCCCAGCGTCCTGGGATCGAGTCCCACATCGGGCTCCTTGCTTGGCGGGGAGCCTGCTTCTCCCTCTGCCTCTGTCTGCCTGTGCTCGCTCTCTCTCCCTCTCTGACAAATAAATAAAAAAAAAAAATTAAAAAAAAAAAAAAAAAAAAAAAAAAAAAAAAAAAAAAAGAATGCTTTAAAAAAAAAAAAAAAAAGATTTAACAAGAAGTTAATAAGATTGCCAATCTCAGACATGTAAGAAATTATATTCTTGTATATCAGATACAAACAATTAGGGAATTAAAAGATATTTTTTAAAATATCTTCAAGATAAAATATCTTGAAGATATTTTAGAAGATATGATACCCATCCAGCAGCACCAAACCTAGGAATATATTTAATAATATTTAAAATTATTAAATAATTTTATTTAATAATTATTTGTTATTAATATTATATCTTATTAATTAATATTATGTTATATATTATTATATATTAATATTATTAAATAATAATTATTTAAATTTTAAAATATTAATAATATCTTAATAATATTTAAAAGTAAAACATTTTAAAATCTGACAATACTAGGTGTATTGGTGAGGTTTTGAAATATATATAATAACTGAAGAAACTTATAAAATTTTGAGAGTAAAGAAGAATTCAGTGGAAAATGAACAATGTTTATGGGTTGGACAATGCCGTATTTATAGAATATTTTCACTTTTGTTTAAATTAATTTATAGAATGCAGTTTCAATCAGTTTTCCAGTCTATAATTTTGTGGAACTTGACAAGCTGATTTGATTCTAAAATGTGTATGTAAATACAGGAGATTAAGAGACCAAGACACCCATCAACTAGTAAAACAAGAAGGAAGGAATTTGCCATCAGGTATCAGGGTACTACAAAACCACCGCACTTAATAATGTGATATTATTCAATTCAAGTGACAGACAAATAGAGCAGTGTCCCAGAGAATCCAGAAATCCATGCATATATGTATATGTGATATGTGATGGAGTTTTTATGTCACACCATCTGGGAAATGATTGACTTTTAGTAAATGGTGCAGTTACTCTGCTATTCATGTTGAGAAAAATATGAAAGACATTGGCTCTCTGTCAGATGGCACATAAAAATCAATCTCCTGTGGATTAAGGAACTCAATATCTAAAGGAGAATTACAACACTTTTAGAAGGGAATATAAAATGTCCTCATGAACTTGCACTAAGGAAGGATTTCACAAATTCACAAATACCTTTGCAATAAAATAATAAAGATCCATTTTACCATATTAAAATTAGAAACTTCTCTCAAGCCACTAAAATTTTAGTGAGAAGATAGTCCATCAAGTGGGAGAAAACACTTGCAGCACACAGAACCTCTAGGGGCACAGTACCAGAGTATATAGAAAGAACTTCAGATCAACGAGTAAAACCCAGATAACACGAAAGAAAAATGGGCAAAAGACTTGTACATCTACTTCACAAAAGAGGAATTCCATGACCAATATTAAACATAGAAAAGGTGCTCAACTACATTAGTAATCAGAGAAATGCAAATTAAAGTCACAAAGAGATACCTTTTCATATCAGATAAGGAAAAGTAAAACATTTTAAAATCTGACAATACTAGGTGTATTGGTGAGGTTTTGAAATAAAAGGAATTGATTTTATTTAACATTTTGTTGTTACAAGGGTAAATTGGTATAATGCTTTAGAAAAAATCTTGGCATTATCTAAAAATACTGAAGATCTGAATATCCTTTGACCTCACAGCCCCATCCTTTGATATGTACCCTCTAAATGTCCAATGGGACATATGTAGAGGAATGTTTATTAGCATTTTCTGTAATAGTCGAAAACCAGAAGGACAAAAAGCCCATCTACAGTTGAAAAGAATAAATTGCAGTAAATCCATACAGTGGAATTCTGTGTATTAGTGGAAACAGAAAAACTGCAGTCACGTGCAGCTGTACAAGGTACTCCCACAAAAATATTATGGAAGAGCAGATGCAAATAGTAGGATTCCATTCAAATAAAGCTCAGAAATGGCCAGAAAAAAAAACAAACAAACAATATAGGAAGTCAGGGGTAGATGGTAAATCTCAAGACTAAAACAAAGAAATTAGCACTACAAATGCCATTTATGGAGGAGACTTATGATATAGGATAGAGGCATGTGGGTTTTTGAAGTGCTGGTCATATAAAATGTATTTACGTGAGCGGCGGCTGCATCCTTAGTAGTTACTTATTAACTACACATGGTTTTTGGTTTTGTTTTTAAGATTTTTATTTATTTATTTATTTGAGAGAGAGAGAGAGAGAGCATGAGAGGGGAGAAGGTCAGAGGGAGAAGCAGACTCCGCATGGAGCTGGGAACCCAATGCGGGACTTGATCCCGGGACTTGGGGTTCATGACCTGAGTGGAAGGCAGTTGCTTAACCAACTGAGTCACCCAGTGCCCTACATGTGTTTTTAATCTAATTCGAAAATAGCTAACTACTTATTAGAAAACTTAGGGGTTTTTTTAAAGATTTTTTTAAAAATTTTTTTATTTAACAGATAGAGCTCACAGGTAGGCAGAGAGGCAGGCAGAGAGAGAGAGGAGGGAAGCAGGCTCCCTGCTGAGCAGAGAGCCCGATGCAGGGCTCGATCCCAGGACCCTGAGATCAGGACCTGAGCCGAAGGCAGAGGCTTTAACCCACTGAGCCACCCAGGCGCCCCAGAAAACTTA